TTATGCAGAAGAATAAACTAAACAACATTTGCCTCAACGTTATATCCAAATTCCTTACCAAATTTGAAATAAAAATCAAATACTAAAAATAAATAATAATAATGAATATTAGAAAAAATAAAACGAGAATTAAATTATTGAGTGGGCGAGCACGTTTTGGACACCGCCATCTTTGGCGATTTTAAATTATTTTTTGGCATTGACAAATGCCCTGAAAATGTACAGATATGTATTTTACATAATGAATAACTCATTAAAAAAAAATCAAAAAATAATAAAATGTTTTAGGCCCCGAAATAAAGTAAAAACACAAAGTTGAAAGTGAAAAAAAACAAAATAGTGGGTGGGCGAGCACGTTTTGACACCCTCTTCTTTGACGATTTGTAATTTTGTTTTGGCTTAGCAAAATGGCTTAGCAAAATGGCTTCAAAATTTATAGGTGTGTAAGTTACATCATAGAGAACTCACAAAAAAACATTCAGAAAAAAAAAAATTATTCTTAGGCCCCGAATTTGTTTTTTGCGGGGGCCGAACCTGGAGGTGTTCAGCCCCCGAACGGGACCCCGAACGCCGGAACGTTCGGGGGCCAGCCCGGGGGCCCCCGAACGTTCGGTCAGGTAACCCTGTATGTGATAATATTTCTATTTCTTTTGGCCCGGCCGGGCAAGTGGTCCCGGGCCACTCTGATAGCCTAACTCAGGCCTGTATTTCCACTGAGCGAAATCATCGCGGTTGCTTTAATTTTCGGAACACCTCGCGGTTGCTTTAATTTTCGAACTGAGCGAAATTATCGCGGTTGCTTTAATTTTCGCCCGGCCGGGCAAGTGGTCCCGGGCCACTCTGTATTTCCACATGGGTGTACCAACTGAGCGAAATTATCGCGGTTGCTTTAATTTTCGGAAAAAAAAACATGATGATCACTTTCGAATCTTCTCGATGAGTGGCAGGCAGGCTCCAAAGCCTCAGTCTCATCGCCATTCCTATGACACAAAAACTACTTGCATCAGTTTTCTGTGAACTCGCTGTAATTCTTATTTATCCTCTGCTCTTCCTGTCCTGCCTTGTTTCCTGCCCTCCCCATCTCCTCATCATCTATTCTCTACTACGTCACACCGCAGTCAAGACAGCTTCTGAAATCTGATCATCTGCAGACCTACCGTCTTCCCCGGAAGAGAACATACGGTCGTTATCACCGTATCTAGACTGGAAGTTGCCCCAAATACAGCTATAATGACTGCACGGCGTGCACGTTTTATTCAGGGATTATGGTAGGCTGTGGTCAAGGCATTGGGCTGACCCGTTCAAGTGGCAGAGCCTATGAAACAACCCCGCACTAGGAAGGGGATCGACTCTCAGCCAGAAGCACGGTCCTGGTCCTGCTTTGTGGGCATGGTTTAAGAACCTTAGTCCAGTCTCGTGAACATTCACTATCGTTGACATATGTATCTGCCAGGAATCATGGCCCGATTCGCCCCAAAAAAAGGACTCAGTGTGAGGATGCCTTCCTCTAACGCCAGAATGGCAGATGGTCTGTCGACCTACTGGATAAAGTAAAGCTCTTGGCTTTTCATGGGTATGGCGGGGACATGAATGTGCTTGTTCACTCACACTTGGGGCTATCCCTGATGTACCTGGTCAGAATCGTGACCTGATTCGGTTGAGAAAAGGAGTCACTGAGCAGGCTAACTGTGTTCCCGGAGTGACAGATCGTCATGACAATAAATATTCAATGATCATCTGATCTTCAGTTTGCAGCCTACTAGAGAAAAGCTCTCAGCTTTTGGACAGGTACAGGTAATTAGTAATTAGTAATTAGTAATCCACACGATACACTGGGAGCCCATGATTGGGGGTTAGTGGGGGTTGTGGACTCCAAAAAGGAAAAAGAAAAACACCTTTCTTTTTTCTCTTTTTTTTTGGATGGGGTGGCGACGACCGTCGACCGGTACATGCCGACCAATCAAGGGCGCTGACCGTTGGCCTGTGCAACTCTCTGTCCTGCTGTAGACGGTATTCACTCTCCATACAAATAGAGCTCTAAAAGCTAACTGGCGGTTTTGAAGTGAACACAATAGTGCCAGGCATTACTTCCCCCAAGCGACTGCACACCGTGTTCAGGTACCTGCGTGAACACCTCTGCGTTCTCTTTCAAGTTCCAAGCCACTCTATGTCCAAATCGATCAGTGAGTCAAATCACCAAGGAATTAGCCAATTGAATTAGCCCTTGTGAGAAGTGCGGTCTTCTTGTGTCTAGCGATGGCAAGGAAAGCCGGAGGTACACATGTACTTGACAACATTTGGCTTGCACATTTTGTCTCATGCACCATTGATCTATACAGCATACGGAGCAAAGGCTATACCGCTTTTTGGCATAGATGACGGAAAGGCCAAGACCAATGCCAAAGGCGAAAGCATAATGGAAGGGGAGATCAATATGAGCAGGTGGCACTATGATATCTCTGAAATTCGTCTGAATTCTCCTTGGTACCTCCGTGGAGCACGCAGATAGGAACCTGAGCCATCCATGAGGACACCTCTGCAGGATTTGCTGACAATTTGTGGGCTTTCTGTTATTGCAGGCTTTGCAGGTTCAGTTCAGCCTCACGTACCCGGAACAAGTGACTAACGCGAAGGCACGGCCGTCTATTGTGAATCGAGGACCCATTTACGTGTTTGAGGAGGAGCGCAAGCCAGGAGAGCGGACTCAACCGATGCAAGTGCCAGGACCAACCTTTGAAGAGCGGACTCAGCCAATGCAAGTGCCAGGACCAACCTTTGAAGATGAGGCTGCTACCCCGGGTACCCCCCGGCTTGGGTCCAGGGTACCGATACCAGAACGGCATGTGCAAACCCAACCATCGGAGGCTGCTGAAACATCGGGAGGTCAATCTGAACTGACGGGTAACGCGTCACGAGAAGCGGGGCAACCCGTGAAATCCGATGCAGTCACCAGTAAGGCAGGCAAAAGGCATGAGATCGCGAGTGTCGGTGGCCACACCTCTGCAGCTCAATTGCCTTCCCGCGTCCAAGGATCGCCGGGCCGGGCTAAGCTATCTGAACAATCTGGACGGTCAGACGGAAGTGCTGCTCAGTCGGACGCAGTGGATAAGGTACTGCGAGTTGAGCGGGTTGCAGTCAAGAGTGTCGTCGTGAAGTCTCGACTGGGCAACCAAGCCTCCTCCCTCAAGGAGATGGACGCAGCAGCAGACAGTCCTCCATCCCCAGTGCAGGGTAACCATTACGTCGTGGAGCCCGACCAGGATCTACGTGTGACGGTACCAGACGCTTCTAGTGCGGTCTCCTCTCCTTCCAGGGTGAGTAACGCTAACCTGGCAACGAAAGATTCTAGTGCTTCCTCACAACCTGCTTCAACTGCTTTCCTACCGTCTCTGGATTCTGACAACGATCAGGAGTTGCTCGATTGTCCAGAGTTACTTCCAGACGGCATTACAGATGGAGTTCTGTCACCCAGAAGGGCGACGAAGCCGGTAAGATCGCAGCCATCATCTCCCCAATCCAAAAGAACTGTACACACTGTTCCTGCGGTCCGGAAGTCCAAATCGTAAACATGATTACCTTAGGTAGTAGACGGAATGTGCTCATGCAGACTCGTGTCCATATGTGTCCCACACTGTCCGCCAAACAGCAGGAGTAAGCGTCCAGGTAGAGTGCTACCTGCCTGCAGCGACGAGGGAGCGAGGGAGTGACAACAATCCAATCTGTGCAATAGCTCTGATCTGTAAGCTAACTGTGAGGCAAAGTAACCGATCCGTCTATACGCTTCCCCCGACCTGTATTTTGTTCCACTACTGCTGCTGCCAGATGACTTCTCAAAGGTCATCGACTCACTGCACGCCGCTCCTCGAGTAGGTGTAACAGTTTCGTCGCCCGTCATAAAATCAATCACCCTATCTGCAAACCCTAGTCATGAATCTGCCTTCCTCCCTGTGTCTAATTCACTCTCGCTCTCTCTCGATCTTCCATCAACAATTAGACTTGGTAGTTGTGGTGCTCGCCACCTTTCCCTGTTCTTAAAAGACCTATCAAAGCGCCCCTGTAAACTGTCGTACTTGACGACAACTCGGTTAGGTGGTCCTGTTCAAGGACTGCAATTATGATGGTTGGTCCGCTCAGCTTGCCTTGAGGTAACTGGGTTCTGTGAGATACTTGCCGGTTCGTTCTCCCGGTGAAAAAGGATTTTTTTTTTATTATTTATAATGGTTCGGTATGGCCAAATGTGCTTCATCACAAACGTATCCATCTGTGACATTGTGCGTGTGCTGTCTCTGGCGCTGAGGATATATACTGTCATAGGGTTCCATTTCATTCAATTTCACGGAGTTTCTCGTCCCATCTGACCCCTCTTTCCCAAGACCACAGAAGCTCTAGCACTCCTTACACTTCATTAAACTGTCTTCCATCTTCATTCCGAAGGCGTCTTTTTTTCTTTTTGCCTATTTCATCTGGATTCAAACTCTGGTGTGTATTTCACCACTTCACAGTCGAACCAGCTGAGCTAGGCCCGATGGCAGTTCCCAGTTGCATCTTCATTACCAGCACCACTTGAATTTTTCACTGAGGTGGATCGTAGTCCGTCTTCTTCTCCGCGGACTACTGAGTAAGATCCTCAAGCCCTTGGCATCCAACTCTGCTTAGGTTTGGACCTCTCATGCACGCCCGCATCCCGACCAAATCTCTGAAGCAGCGGAGTGGTGGCCATTTCCGCTGCAGGCCCACAGGAGACGACCGCTGTCTGCTTGCTGCCTCAGCTGTGCTACGTGCTACGTGTTGGTCTCTCGTAAATACTGATTACTGTTCTGAATGAGGCATGTCTTCCCCTTTTCAGACTTTGCAGAGATGGTCATGGAATCAGATATGCTGTCCTCTTCAGTCGTGCTTGGGAGTCTGGAAATGGGGCTTGGAAATAGGTAATCTATATGGCACCCCTGGGTACAAGATGGCATAGCAAGTTAGCAACCCGTAGCACTCGACGTGGTAAGATTCTTGAATATGAATTCTGGATTTCCATCTTCATGTCTCCTCCTGCCGACCGCATTCCTAACCGTATCTTGGATACGCCCTTAGAGTGACTGATGGTAGCAGATTCAGGGGCTTGCAGCAGGGCTGTCTGCGCAGGCATGGGGGGACCCTTGCCAACCTATATTCACTAACATCTCAGAGTTATGGGTTCGTAACTTCGTACTTGTCGTCGATCAGCCACTGGCGATGCCATGAATGGGCCAGATATGCCTCCGCGGGATTCGAAGCAGCCTTGATTGGCAGCAGATTATGTTGGGGTTTCAAGTTTCAACAGGCACTGTGAACTTGGACAGCTAAAGATGGCCAACTTGGCATGTCTGATGCTTTTGGCTTGCAATTGTATCAAGGTTGGTAGGGGAGAGCCTAATTAGTTTGTGTCAGTTTTATAGGATGGATTAGATTGACTTATGTCTGTGTCCTCACGTGTGTTTGGTGCTGAAGCCATTACGTGAACACCCTTGCTCTCAAGGTCAAGGGCTTACATTGAAGTAGTTAACCATTAAGGCATCTAATTTTTGTGCATTTGATAATCGTAGCGATCAACATTTCGTTCAACTGGGAGTTGAAGACCCCGAGAGCCAATGTAAGCCTTCAGAGCTCCAATTCCAGACGGAACCATCTCCCAACAATGGAAGGTGGACCTCTCTCTCTCTCTCTCTCTCTCTCTCTCTCTCTCTCTCTCTCTCTCTCTCTTTCTCTCTCTCTCTCTCTCTCTCTCCACACACACACACACACACACACACACACTGCAATTGCTGGGGAGTCGACCTCGGACCTGAAGACAACCACATTGGCTAAGCCCACCCGTCCAAGAAATCCAACCAGCATATTACTTCAAGGTAAACCTCTCTCTCTCTCTCTCTCTCTCTCTCTCTCTCTCTCTCTCTCTCTCTCTCTCTCTCTCTCTCTCTCTCTCTCT